GGACCCAGAGACTAGTGGAGTGGACAAATGCTTTCAATCCCATTTGAAAAATATTTGAAGAATGATCCCAAAGGAAAAGGGATCTTAGCAAATTTTAAAAACTAGTAAATTCTGAAGAGCTGCATCAAGAAAAGTAACAAGTTCATAAAATCAGGCAGGAGAGAATGTCAAAGAATCTGAAAGTGCAGATTATGCCAAGATAAAAGTTTCTATAAAAATTAGAGCAATGGTTAAGATTTTTCTTCAGGTGGTCAGGAAGATGTTGTTGCTCAAACGTAATTGTGGTTGAGGGGTCAAGCCCCTTGGCCCAAATTCCCAGAGCGTCAAGCATATGGACTGATGTAGCCTAGGTGTCACCAAATCCTACACTCAGTGCCAACAGGTCTGGGCACCACCAAACCACCCTCAAAAAGTTTTTAACTTTTGCTTTATAATTTTCTGAGCATGAAATGTAAATAAACCAAAAAATCTTCATAAATACTATCAAAAAGAAAGCCTGAAAAATATACTGTTCTATCAGTTAATATTTTTATGTACAAAGAAATATCCCAAATGCTTGAATACATGCACGCATTCATCTAATAATCACAATGCCTCTAAAAAATGGACTCTTAACATCTCACTTTACAGACAGAAAGCTAGTACAAACATTCCTAAGATGACACTTTAGCCAGGATTTGATTCCAGATAGTTTAATTCTTAATTACTATTTTACTAGAGGAAAAGAGCTTCTTCAGATCTAAATTCAGGCAGTACAAAGTCTCACGTATTCCTCCAGACTAGGTTAAGTTCTGTGTTTAAAAAATAAAATGTAAGATGCTAAAATTCAATATAAAGAATACAGAGTTAAATAAAACATTTAATTTTTTTCATAATATACTAACACTTCAAAAAATTGTAATTTGAGCATAACCACTCGCTTTTTCAACGTTATCTAAAACCCTTCTCTCCCCCATCTAAAAACAACCAGAAAACCCAACAAACAACAGGTCTCGGATGACTTTTGGAAATGAGAGCCCAATTTTAGCTGAATGTTTCCATAGGGATTAACTAGGTTGGACTGCCCAATGACCAGGGTCTTGCACTAAAATCTGAAAGTCAAGAAATGAACTCAGTCACTAGGCAACAATAGATCACCAACTGGTTTTACACAAAAACAACCCCTCTTTCCAAATTCTTACTATGGGAATTCCAATACTAAAGGTCAGAGAAAAAGTAAACAAGGCATTTAACCCCCTAAAACTGAAAACTAAGTATATGATTTCAAAAAAACAAAACCAAACTAAACTTTGAGTCTCGATTCCGATTCCGGTACACAAAGGTTACTTCCTACAGCAATCAATCTACATATTTTTACATATTTTTAAAATAAAGTATTACCCAACAAAAATCATCCTGTATTTATTTCTATTCTTTCCTGTTTAGAACAGACAAAAGAATGATTTCAAACAAGTCACCAATCACTGTTCAATCTGCCTAGCTACTCCTGAGTTATCTGAATTTTATCTATCCTCCCTTTCTCATCAGTGACTCTGAGAATTAAACCAAACAAACTAAATAGTTTTCAGGTTTAGTTCCTGAAATTCAGTCAGTGGGGCAAGTTACTTGGGATCCTGTCTCCTATTAATGCTATGGTCACATCACATATTCCTTATTAAAAACATGAAAATTCCACATTTCCTATTCCTTGAAAGCTGGAACTGGATTCCAATTATCTTTAGTCTCATCTGCTTACTAATATAGTTAGCTATTAAACCTATATTAAGATGATATTTAACTAAGCATTTTGGGTTTAGGAGACTTGGTGCCTGGGTGTCTTTTAAAATAAGTTTTAGTATTTTTGTCTCATACTAAAAAATACATGTGGCACAAATTTATAAAGGGGGAGAAAAATCCTCAATGTTCAGTGGGGAAGATTCAGTTCAATTATTTAATAACTACAGTAAAGAAATTAGTTACTGTTTCTTCACCACAAAGCCAAATGCCATTTCTGCTGCAGTCAAACTTTTAATAAAACAATACTAATAAAGTATGAACCTTAACTTACCAAACTTAGACTTTAGACAAAATTTATGATGAGCTCCCCTTTCAGAGAGATCTGCAAACAATCCCATCACTTGAATATATATAAAGTAAAGTAACTATTATCAAACAAACAGTATGTAGATCTGCAAACAATCTCATCAATTGTGTACGTGTGTGTATAAAGTAACTATTATCAAAAGTTTTTAGAAAGGGATATTAAAGAGAAAAGTGCCTCAAGTAAATGTAAATAAATCATTTCTAAACCTGTATTTCAAATGCTTAGAGTAAATTATGCCACAAAAAAGTAAATTACGCTATACTTCTATTAAAAAGAAAAGTCCATCCCTAATTTTGAAAAAAAAAGCTACTTAAATTCTGCAAACCCCAGCAATATACCATTTTCTGACCATAACAACTGAGCTGTCATAAGCACATCACTTTCCTAGTAAAAAAACAGGTAAAGAAATCTGATTCTCAAAAGACCTTCTATCATTTAAGATCCAGTGGTATCAAATTATTACCTAAAGAACTGACACTTGTGTTAACAGTTACCTATACATGTACTGATATCATATTATTATCTAAAGAACTGACATTTGTTTTAATAGGTAACTACACACAGTGACTCTAAAAATTAAGCCTATATTTTGTACTCATTAACTCACTCTCCATCCCCCAAGAAGCCCTATTTTCTTCTCCAATGAAATGATAAAATCAATACTCAAGTCAGAAAACATTTTCCATGGTTATAGGATGAGATTTTTCCTGAAACCTGACAGCTATTTCAATACCAAAACATTAGTATTTCATTTGAGATTTAACAATTAGTCATTTACCAGACTAATAAATGTTTTAACATTTCCCGAATTATTATTAGAGCCTAACACATTTAATTTTTGCCCTTTCCCAAACTAAGCAAGTCATCACCTGTTCTATGACTTCAGGTTCCTTCAGGTTTGGGCAGAATAATCTAAGATTTCTTTCAATTTTAATACACTAAGATTTTTAATAAAATATATATTCAGAAAAAATTTAAATTGTGAACAATATACAGTAAGTACATTAAGTTTGAAAAAAAAAAACTTTCTTTTTTAATGCCTTACAAAATCTCCTGGGCTTGTTCTTTAATTTGGACTCAAAGTCTCCAACTCACATACTAAACTCACACAACTTTCTGAATAAGATTATTGAGTTTGACTGTCCTAGTCAAAAAGATTTTTAAAAGGTAATAATGCCCAACTACTTCCACAAAAGACTCCTAGGCTATAATAACCACATTTTTAAAAACTAAGTAAAAAACCGTAGAAGCAGGCTTTAACAACTAAACCAGGGTACCACTCAATTAGCTTGGATTCATTTGGTTTTACGACCAATCCTGAACTAGCTTAAATGCACTGCATACAAAAGGATGGAAATATTCTTCAGTTTGACCAAGCCTATGCTTAAGTAAAGTCACACGTTTTAAGAAAACTTGAAATTAGACCAAATAATGTACGGACCATAGACAAACTAAGCTATCAGAAAGGTAAAACAGGTGCTTTAGGGAGTGTAAAACAGCAGGTAAAACAGCAGATTCTAAAAAAGTCTAAAAATGAAATAACTAAAACAAAATGGATCCCTAAGGTACTTAAGTTACTTGGGTCCAGGCTTAAAGAGCAGTGACACCGATTAAGAAAATAAATTATGAATTCTTATTCCAATATAAAAACTGTACCAAGATTAAAATGGATCCGCAGTAGGCAACCTTGGTACACAAAAACAAAAATAGGTGTCTGTCTGTAACGAAATGTCTATAAAACAAAAGGAATCAGACCTGTTTTTTAGTATGACTAATAGAAATAAAGTTAGTTTCACGAGGTTTGTTTTTTTCTATTAAAAAGGTCTGCCACCTTTCCATCTTTAAACCACCGCAAAAACGAGCACTGCTTAATTCACCACACTTCTGAAGTTCCTTATAAGTAACTATGTAACTCAAAGAAATCATGTTCTGAAGGCACTGAGCCATTTTTCAGTTGACACCCTCCTGATACTTCCACATCCCTTCACGTCAAATAAGGGTCTTGGTCACCTGAAAGCCGGCATTCAGAGCGTTAAGTGTTGCCTTCGTGACCAGGTGAATGGACTGAATGCAATCTTGGACCATTCAGTTACGTCCATATCCTATTTCAACTTGGTGCATAACCTTGACAAGAAAACGAAGAATGCCTTTTTTCATTCCTTCTTGAACAGAGCTTCAAGTGTAACTTGCCCTATTCCAGTAGCCCACAGGTCACTTCCTGGTGAGGGCACCAATCACACTGCTACAGGTCAGGCAACAAGTGGCCAAGACCAGTCATTCCAACCGGGTGTATTTTCAACCCACAGGCTCGGACCCGACACAACGCTATTCACATCAATCGAGCTTTCTGGGAGACGGAAAGGCAACGGGCTCGCGCGACCCCCGTGGGTCTCCGGGAGTTACTCAGGGGCTTCTCGGGGGCCAACAGGAGCGGCATGACACTCCCTAAAGCACGCTCGGCCTCTCACAGGTTCTGGCTCTGCTCCCGAACGCCTCAACGCTACGAGCGACCCGAAGCGGAGCATCACTCGGTGGACGCGACCAGACACCTGTTGCGCCCGCCGGGCCCGAAGTGGGCCTCTCTCCGGCGGCGGTTCGCGTGGACCGGCCGAGATCTGCCGGAAAGGCCAGGCCTGGGCACCGGCTGGAGGCTCGCGCCCGCCCGCCCGCCCACCACGCTGCTGAGACGGAAAGGACCCGGCGAGATGCCGAAGCTCCAGCTCCGCCGCCCGGCTGGCCCACGCCCCGCGCGCAGCCGGGTGCGAGCCCGAAGGCCCGTCCCCGCGGCTTTCAAAAGTCGCGCCCGGGGCCAGACCGGCGCCGGGGAGGAGGCCGGCCCCGAGCGCGGATGCGGAGACGCGGGTGCACGCGGCGCGCCCCCGCCCCCCGCCGCCCGCCCCGCCGCCCGCCCGGTTACCTGCAGCTCGCACCAGGCCACCTCCACCGTGGTCTCCGTGTCCAGCCCCTTGTAGACCGTCTTGAAGGAGCCCCGGCCGATCTCGATGTCGAACTTGAGGAAGCGGCCGTCGTTGGACATGCCCACCGCCTTGGTCTCCAGCTCCTCGGTGTCGTCCTGCGGCGGCGGCGGGCCGCGCTCGTCGGGGGCTTCCCGGGCGCCGCCGCCGCTGCCGCCCCGGGCCGGCGGCGCGGGCTCCTCCTTGCCGCCCGCATGGCCGGGCGGGGCCGCGGGGCGCTCGCGGCTCGCGCGGCTCGGCGCGGCGGGCGCGGCGGCGGGGCCCGAGGGGGCGGCGTCCCCCGGCGGCGACACGGCGGCCGGGGCGGCCGGCGGGGGCTCGGCGCGGCGGGGCTCGGCGGGGGCGCCGGGCGCGGGGGGCGCGGCCGCGGCGGCGCTGGCGGCGGCGGCGGCGGCGGCGGCGGCGCCGGGCTGCGGGGGAGGAAGAGGGAGGCCGGGCAGCTCCAACGCGGTGGCGTTGGAGTCGCAGATGACGCTGCGGCGGAAGAAGCGGTGCTCCGTGGTGGTGGCGGTGGCGGCGGCGGCGGCGGCCGCCCCGCGGCTGTCCTTGTCCATGGTGTGGCGGCGGCGCCGGTACTCGTCGGTCCTGCCCGCCGCCGCGTCGCTGCCCGCCGCGGCCAGCTTCTCGCCCAGCGACGAGTCGGAGCTGGAGCCATTCTTGGGGGCGGGCGCCGGGGGCGCGAGGCGCGGGGGGCTCGCGGCGCTGCTGGGCGGCCCGGCGGCGCCGCCGGACATGGTGGGCGCGCGGCGAGGGCTCGGGCGAGGGGCGGGGGGCGGGCCGGGCCGGGCCGCGGCGGGTTCCGAGCGCGCCGACGCCGCCCGGTCAGCACTGGCCGGCCGGGCCGGGCGCGGGGCGGGACGGCGGGGCGCGGCGCGGCGGCTGCGGCTGCGGCTGCGGCTGCGGCGGCTGCTGCGGCGGCTGCGGCTCTCGGCGGGGGCGCGTCGGCGGGCGGGCGAGGAGCGGAGCCGCGGGGGTCAGCGCCTCCCGGTCCGCGGCCATCCTGCGGCGGGCGGCGGCCGGCGGGGCAGGGGCGGCGGCGGCGCCGCGGGCATGAGGGGCCGGGCCGGGCCGGCCCCGGCGCGCGCTAGGCCCCGAGGGCGGCACCGACGGCGACGCGGCGGCCCCGGCGGCCCGGGCGAGGGGGAGGGGCGGCCCGGGGCTCCGGTCCCGCCGGCCGGGCGGCGGCGGCGGCGCCTCCCACACGCGCCCGAGCCAGGGGCAGCGGCTCAGCGGGCGCCCATCGTCCGCCCCCGCTCCGCCTGAGGCGCGGCCCCCCCGAGGCCCCCCGCCCGCGCCGGCCGGGCCGGGCCAACCCCGGTCTCCTGCGCCTCCTCCCGGGCCGGGCCGGCCGGGGCTGAGGGAGCGAGCGAGCGGGCGGGCGGGCGGCGGGCGCCGGGCAGGGAGGGCCGCCCGCCGCGGGGCCGAGCGCACGGACCGGGCCGGGGCGCGAAGGGAAAGAAAAGAGTAGTCACCCCCACCAGGCGCCTTCTGTCAGCGAAGACGGGCGCCGAGCGCCGAGCGAGGAAGCGCCGCGTCCGCCCGAGAAACTCTCCGCGCTAAATGGCGCCGGGAGACAGAAGCCTCCACACAGCCCGCTCCGGCCCCGCCCCCCGCCGCCCGGGGCGGCCCCGCCCCCCGGCGCTCGCGGCCCTGGCGCGCAGGCGCGCCGGGCGCGCGGCGCGCCGGGACTTGGAGTCCGCGCGGCGGCGCCCCGCGGGCGGCCGCGGGGGCGGGCGCCTACGACTCCCGTGAGGCCCCGCGGCCGCCCGCGCCGCCGGCCTCCTGGGGGCTGTAGTCGGCCGCGGGGCCGGCCCCTCCGGGAAGGCCCGGGGCAGCGTCCCGGCGGGTCGCTCCGCCCGCCGCGGGCTCCGCGCGGCCCGGGTGCAGCCGGCTGCGAGGGCCGCGGGGAGACGGGGAAGGAGCGGGCCGGGGGCGCGGCGGGAGGCAGCGCCGGGGGCGAGGTCCCGTCATGCTCTCTGCTCGGGCGCGCGCGCGGCGCTGGGGCTCGCCGCGCGGTGAAAAATGAGCTGTTGTTCGTCTCTCCCGGAGAGAGAGCGAGCGGGCGGGCGGGAGGGAGGGAGAGCCGCCGCGGCGCGGGCGACGGGAGGGGGGAGAGGCGAGGCCGGACCCGCGCCTGCGCGCCCAGGCCTCGCGCGCGCCCGGAGGGTCCCGTCCGCGGGGCGGAAGACACTTGGGGGCGAGGCGTCGCCCGGTCGCCGCGGCGGGGGGGCCCTTGGCCTCCGCCCCTCCCGCGCCGCCGAGGCCGCGTCCGCAGCTCCGGCCCCGACCTCGGTGCCGTGGCTGCTGCCCGACGTGGGCCGGCCTCGGCCGAGGGGGGTCGTGAGAGGAGGAGCAGAGTCCAGGGAAGCGCGGGCCCCCGCGCCTTTGGCCTCGGCCACCGCGGGCTGGGGAGAGGCGGGCGGCTCCCGGGCGCGCTGGTTCCTCTTGCTCGGGGGCTCGCGGCCCCGCAGACGGGCGTCCGCCCTCGGGCTCGCGAGGTGCCTGCGGAAACACGTGCCCGTTTCCCGCGCGGCTTGGGGCCTGAGGGGGATCCGGAGCCGCCGAGCCCCGAGCCCAGGAACGCTTTTCTGGCCGGCGCCCCCGAGCCCCCGGGACCCCTGGGCTCCGGGCACCGGCTCGGGACCGTGCAGCTGATGAGCGCCAGGGGGCACCCGACCGAGAAGGACGCCGGCGCGGACACCCGGTGTCCGCCGAAAGGGCCGCCCGACGGGTGAGAGCGGGAAGCGCCGCACGCCCGGCCTCCCTCCCGGGGCCGCCCGCCGGGCCGCGAGCGAGCGCAGGAGCGACGCGGGCGCCGGCAGCGGGGAGCGAGGCCGCGGCCGTTCGGGCGCCGCCCGGGAGAACGTTCCCTGGGAGTCGCCCGCCGCCGAGCCGAGGAGCCCCGCGCGCCGAGTTCTCTCAGCTCTCGTGCTAGGTGATCTGACTCGTGAGATGGAAGGTTTTTTTTTTTTTTAGCTTGTTTCCCGAACTACACTCTCAGGTCTACAGAAACATTTGGTTTAAAACAAAACCAAAAACAACGGAATGGGCACTGGTGGGTCCTCGATCGTTGTATCACTGAAACCCAAGCACAAACCCAGGTTTGTAAGTCTGCCACTGTTCCTCGTGGTGTTTCACTCACCAAAAACAACAACAACAACAACGGTGATGATGAGTATTTTAATTGCAGGTTCGAACCCTGCAGCGAGGCGTACCAAAATCGTCGAGTTTTGTTGTTTTAGGAAAGATAGGCTTCACTTGTTGGCTCTGGGAAGGGGAAATCTCCTTGTGGTGTAAGTAATTCGTGGTTGATCTCCAACCATCAATTTAAGGTAGAGCGAGGGGAGAAATTAAGGTGCGTGTTCATTGTGCTGCATGAAACTGCTTCTTAGAACTTGCCCCTGTTGCCTCGCCGGGAACAATGGTCCTCTTGAACATAAGGCAACGAAAGTTTGGGGTAACTAATTGGTGGGTAAGAAGATCAGTAAATCACAATGTTCGCTGTTTGGCACCTTAGCAAATGGTATTTCGTGTCAGTGGTCATCAAGAGACCTTATTAACGCCTGTTTTTGTTTACTGACTGCTGAAACTTTGGCCACAAATCTCTCGTCAAGAACCCTATCGATCTGTTATTTCAACCAGAAAGAGACAAATTCATTATAAATAACTTAATTTGAATTATTGACTTTAAAAAAAACAGCTTTACCCATGGGACAGCTCTTCCTACTTCTGTAACATATATTTGGCTCTGCTCTAACTTTAAGTTGAAATAAATTTATGTAAAGGTTAAACTATTTCATGTGACTTTTACTACCAAAACTATTAACTCGATTCCTTTTTAACACTTAACAACTTTTAATGAATATGATATTTTCTGGTACTCATTGCTATTATGTCACTGATAGTACATTTCGTTTCCCTGTCTTTCAACTCATGTAAAAAAAAATAAACAGCCCCTCTATCATCCATATAAAATATCAAGTGACACCAGGTGAATCGCTTTCTGACAGGTGGGGTCCTGAAAATAATTTTTTTCTCAATATACTCTTTATTCACATTTTTTGTTTGTTTGGGGGGGGGGGAGGTCACCACCCCAGCAGTGCTCCATGGGTAATTCCTGGCTCTGCACTCAGGAATTACTCCTGGCAGTGGTCTGAGATCCATATGGCCTCTGGGTTGGAACCTGGGTCTCCCAAGTGGAAGGCAAATGCCTGTACTATCTCTCCAACCCCACCTCTCTTCATCTGTTTTATCCATTTCACCTGTTACCTTTCCAAGGCCCTGCCAATTGGTAATCGACTAGCAATGAAATCCAGAGATAGCTTTAAGATGACTTGACTACACAAAACTTATCTTATTTTGTATGTGACTTAATGGAGCAGCACTCAAAGCATATGGAAAAAAATTATTGTCTTGAGAAAATTGCTTCTTTCCCACATTTCCCATGCTCTTTTGTCTTGTCTGTGAATAATTTTTTATTTTTCCTTCTCATCAGGGACTCAAGGAAAAGAGAAAGAACTTAGCAGAAGAGAGAATTAAAGAAATAATGAAGAATATATTTTTAAAATATTTTCTAATTCTGAATGAAATAAAGGAGAGTATAGCATACTCTCTTTCAAAATGGTATTATAAAACCATAGCCTAAAAAGCTGCATAATACTGAGTTAAGTATGAAACAGAAGAGAAGACATAGAAACAGTCTTATATTTATGGGAATTTCATATATTAGAAAAATGATTTGCTCGAGCGGGCCCAGTAACGTCTCCATTAGAGACTTTGTTGTTACTGTGTCTGGCATATCGAATACTCTTGGTAGCTTGCCGGGGTCTCCGAGAGGGGCGGAGAAAAATGATGTTTCAAGTCATTTGGAAAAGGTTAAAAATTGGTAACTAGTTCATTTGGAAAATAGATGTCTAGCTCATGCTATTCCCAAAATTTCACTCAAAGAATAATTTTAAAGAGTTCAGAGAATCATTGAAATATAGGAAAATATAGAGTAAGAAAGAACTTCAAAGGACAACCCAAAAGCCATAAAGAAAAGTATCTCTTCCAAAACTGACAAGTCTATTCAGTAAGACATAAATGATGAGGTGGCAGAAAAACCTGTAGAACAAGAGATTAATATCCCAAATATGTAAATAATACTTTAAATCACTAAAAAAGAGACAACCCTATAGAAAAGGGGAAGAGGATATGAAAAGACATGACAGGAGGAAATGCAAATGACAAAAACAAGCATGAAAAGATGCTGAAATTCAGTAGCTCAGGAAGTGCACATTACAATGTTCTATTTTCTATCATAAAATTAGTAGATATTCAAGGGCTTGTATTAACAAATGATGGCTAGGCTATGGGGAAACTGTGTGCTAAGACATAAATTAGTCCAATCTTTTTTTGGGAACAGTTTACCCGTGCTTATTAAAATGTACAGTTATGCATAACCTTTAACTCAGTAGTTTCCCTTTTTGGTACCTAATCTAAAAAAAGTATTTCCACATGTACACTATAAAGTATAAGGTCTATTAACGTTCAGTCTGTAACAAAATTAAATGGAAATAATCTGCATGTAGATGGGTAAAATACCTAATTTAAGGAGTAGAGTGCAATGATAGAAGAGAAGAGTAAATATATGTAGTGGCATGAAATGAATAAAATAGAAAAGTATGTGCTAGATCATAACTTGCGTTGAAAATGATCATTTCCATATTGTTTAACTACATAGAGAATAAGTCTAGACAATATGCACCAA